CTTGCTGCCTTGCTGCCTTGTGCTGCCTTGCTGCCTTGTGCTGCCTTGCTGTCTTGCTGCTGCTGCCTTGCTGCCTTGCTTCCTTGTTGCCTTGTTGCCTTGCTTCCTTGTGCTTCCTTGCTCCCTTGTGCTGCCTTGTGCTGCCTTGTGCTACCTTGTGCTGCCTTGTGCTGCCTTGTGCTGCCTTGTGCTGCGTTGTGCTGCGTTGATGCCTTGCTGCCTTATGAATCCTTTTGCTTCCTTGCTTCCTTGCTTCCTTGCTTCCTTGCTTCCTTGTTGACAGTTTACATTTCATCAATCCATTCTGGTACATCCTCCCTCACTCCTATCCATATCTTCAACTAATCCATCTAACCATATTTTTTTTCATTCTCTCTTTTCTTCTTCTTTTTTTCTTAATATAATGGTGTCCTTCTTTACTACTGTACATTTTTCTTTAATTCTCTAGTGTATAAACAAGCAACGAATCTAATCTTTTCATTTTGTAATAGACAAAAATCATCCATTAAGCCATCAAGGGTAAATAACAGCCATCCCAATGATGAAAAGCCAGATGAAGTCAAGGTAAATTAAAGCTAAACATTTTGTAACCTGTAGCACATGAGTGGCATATGGGAGAGGAATTTTAATTACCTCTCTCTACACCCTCGACCTATTAGCCTCATATATACTGCTTCACTACTTCTTCATCTACTTTCAATTGTCCTCTGTAGTTCCTCCAAAGTATTTTTTTAAAATGTAAGATGTATAATTAACCGTGGACTAACTCATAGCTGAGCAGGTAAACCACCCAAGGATTGTATGCCTGCCCCAGTACTGAGCAAGCTGTGAATTTTGTTCTGATTTTTTTCTTGAAAAAATAAATATTTCCATTCTTATATTTTTAAAGAAAGGGGCTTTCAACACTATATTTTGCAGCTATAAATTTCCTGGTGAAATAGGGTGAGTGTGTGGGATGGGATGGGATGGGATGGGATGGGATACAATGGGTTAGAATGGGTTAGAATGGGATGGGATGGTATAAAATGGGATGGGACACAAATCGAAAACGCATAGTTTATGTTGACTAGTACAGACAATAATCTAGCTTAAAATAGAATGGTAAAATCAATGTTTTTCAGATTGTTGATGAAGCCACAACTGCTTCCAGAGCAAAATCTGGCAGTAACACCACCACAGACAATGCCAATGCTGCAAGGTCTGATGAAAGACCATCCCATATAAGAAAGAGACAGCCTCCATCTTTAAGGCCTACTGTTCCACACCGCTTGGAACCACTGCGTCTACCTGTAGCAAATGGCGGCAACAACCACGGCACGTACGAAGATCTTCGTGCTGTAGAAGAAAACCCAAATGGTCGTTTTTCTTCCAAATTGCAAAGAGAACGGCATAATATGAAAGAGCTTGGAGGAGTATTGCCATCAATATTCACTCCTGATGGGAAGACCACAGAGCTTGAGGAAATAACCCAAGCATCAGAAGGAAGCAGAAAGCCCTTAGGTTGTTCTTCCATGTTGAAAATGAAAAGTCAGAGTATAAAACCGCTTGGAGATATCCTTCCATCAAGATTCACCCCTGAAAACAACACCTTAGAGCTTGAGAAAACAATCTTAGAACCAACAAAAGATTGCAGCCCTCGTAATCCAGTGAATCAGATGGCTATAAATGAGATGATCAAAGAAATGCAGCAGCTGAAAGATCACCTCAAGGATGTGAAAACCAGGCAGTGTTCCAAGACCAAAAATGACACCAATGTCTTAGACAATACGAAAGATCTGGATCAGAGTGCAGACCCAATCAAATATGTCAAGACCCTTGCCAATGACATGAACATGATGATAAAATATATAGATCTTGATATGTCATGTGTTCATCGAGCTGCCAAAGAAATAGTGGAAAGCATGGTAGAACGTCTTAAGAAGTCCAAGGATAACTTTGATGACACCTTGCTGAAACACGAAAAAGAGATCTTAAGACTTCAAGGCGTAAACAACGAGATCCAGTACTCGCTTGTCGAAGGAGATGCAAAGGTCAAGTCACTTGAAAAGGCATTGGACCTGACGAACGTGGAATATGAGAAACTGGAGAAGCGCAATGCTAAGCTGCTGGAAGACAACCAGCGTCTTGAAGCTGAATGCCAGAAAATGAATGAGGACATCATGTTCCGGGCCAAGATACTTGGAATCGAGGACTTGCTGGAACAAAACAAACGCCTGGCTGCAGAAAATGACAAGCTGAAGCTAGAAGCAACATTTCGCGTCCGAGAGCTTGTAAATCTTCAACTCGAAATCCAAAGAAGAGATAAGCGCTCCTATCAGCTTCTCGATGAGTACCATGTTCTGTGGAAAGACAAAAGTATACTGAATCTCAGAGTTGCGTCGCTTGAAACAGAACTAAAGCAATTAGAAAATGCAAGGCTAAGCCTCCATGAATACAACTCATCTCTTGGGTGCCAAATAGCTGCAATGGAAGACCACATAAGACAGCTTGAACATCGCAACTCCTTCCTCTCTGGTACTTCTGATGAGTCCATGTCCAGCGAATCTGACGAACCGGTAAACCGTGAATCAGAAATAGGCCCTGACAAAGTAGATATGGTTTATGATGACACAGAACCACAGCAGGGAGATGTTGTGCCTGATATAGGAATCACGGAGCACGTGCTGTTTCTCGAAGATGGAAAAATCATAAATGGACTGGCAGAAAGTTCAAGGAAAATGCCCAATGCTGCTTTGGAGGCCTTTCAGAAGATCGAAAAACCTTCTCATATTATTACCAGAGATGGAAAAATGATCCAGAGGTACCAATCAGTAGAACACAAGAACAGTCCTGAGCAAGCAAATAAGAGTGTTCCAATTCTGAAAATGATGTCAGAAAAAATCCAGCGCCTTGGAAAGAAAAATGAAGAAGAACAGAGACTTGAGAATGCGTTCAACGACACGGTTTTCACAGATACTGCTCAAAAAGCAGTTAAGGAACCATTTGACAACATGGTTGAAAGTTCCGCCTGCAGCAAAACAGTTGCTGAAATGGCTGGGGAAACTGTCAATGAAACTGTTCAAGGCGTAATTGAGGAAATATTTGACAACGTGGTTCAAAGGTCCGCCTGCAGCAAATCAGTTGCTGGAATGGCTGATGAAAGCATCACAGAAACAACAGAAGCTTCAGAACCAGTTGTCGAAGGAATGCTGAAGAAGAGCATCATCCCTCAAGGCAGTTTTGAGGACCATGTCGATGACGCAGACTCTCAAGAACCCTTTAATAGCGTGACTAATGTTGCAGCAGTTAGCCAAAGTAAGTTAGACAAGACAACAACTCTTGAAGTGCAGTCTTCAAACTTAGCCCAAGAGAACAATGAGGTTGAGGTCACTGAGCTTGCTACAGTCCAGCTACAAACAGATCAAAACTCACTCGGTGAACCAGTAAACACGAACTATGCGCAAGACAGTGTAAACGAGCAGGAAGAGCAGCATGCTGCTGTCTCTCAGGACGTCAAACCTAATGCGCTTCAACTTGAGTGGATCATTGAGGAACAGAATAACCATCTAGGAGAACTGCAAACCATCATTGGGATTTTGAGAGAGAAAAACACTCAACTCGAAAATGAAAAAGTAGAAATCATTAGCGAGCATCAAGGTTTTCTTCTTGAGAACATGCAAGAGGTTAAGAGACTCAAAAAGCTGGAACAGTCCCTGAATGAAAAGGAGAGAATACTTGAAGGCAAATTTAGAAATAACGATGACCCTCCAAGAAAGAGCAAGAAGCTTGAGTTGAAGGAAGAAGCAGATTGGTATGAAGAGTGTGTGAAATCCTGTGACCGCGTCCGCCAAATCGAGGGGTTAATGGCGAAACAGGAAAGAATGCTCAAAGACCTTGAAGACGACAGAGATAGGCTCTTAAAAGTCAATAAGGACCTTCGCCTCGAGATGGCAAACAAGCTAGCTGAAGATGCCTTATTTTTAGGACTGCCTAAACCACTGCAAGGTTTCGAAGACATCGTTAAACAACTACGAAAAAGCAAGGTCATCTGCAATGGAGTGAGGAAGAAGATTCGCTGCTACACAAAATGTGATGTTGCCATCGCAGAACTTCAGCGGATGAAGCCAGACACCTTGGTGATTTCTATAGGAGATGTTACGGTGAATGAAGATGAGCAACCACGGCCAAAGACACCCATCACACACGAGCAGTTGTTGATCAAAAAGCCCAAACTGGTCAAGAAGCATCGAATGAAAAATATGCAGAACCGGCTGTTCCAGAATCCAAGTCCCATGGGGTCAACACTTAATGGATCTGGTAGTTTAAGAGAAAGACACAACAGGGTAAATATCTATATTATTAAATGATTCTACATTGCTCTTTAGGGACCGGTCATTATTTCTTGCCTGGGGGGGGAGGCTGAGGCTCAGAGAATTTAGGAAGAATGGGGATCACGTGTTTTTAGACAACTCACAGCAGCGGGAGGGGTTCGGCTATAAATTGACAGGCAACAAAGGGGGATCACTCAAAGAGATAAGAGAATAAAAATCTAATAATGAAGGGGACCACAAAAAGATAATGCCTTTTTATTTGGGGATCGGTTAATCTTCATAATTTCTCAACAAAAATCCTTCGACAAATTCGACATATGACATAGGATTTAAACAAATAAGGGAAATCATAGTACCACGTTTCTGTGTTTGTCTCGAATTTAAGAGTTTAGATAGCCGCTAAAGGATTCTAAGAATTTCTCTTGATTATTATTTCTATGTTTACCAGCAGCACTTGAGCAAATAATCCAAATATTTCTCTTACGAATATGACATAGGTTCACAAGCATGTCTAATTCTAGGATTCTCTTTCATTTCTCTTGCCAGAAAAATCCTAGCATCCTATTACGGATGCCTTATGCCCTTAACAGAATTAACGAAGGTAGAGAGGAATTACTAGAAGAAAGACTGGAGGATAGTTTAGGTGAAGGTGTCGAAGACGCCGCCAAGGAAGTCCTAGAAGCAGATGAGAAGGAAACAGCAGAAATCTATGAGATAGCTATAGGAGAAATGGAAGGCACAGGAATGGATACAGC